AATGTACAGTACTATTGAAAATTCTTGTATTCAAATAGCCTTGATCCTAACTTAGTGAAAACTTCAGCTCGAGGGTGGGGGCGTCTCCGGAACACGGCGAGCTCGCCCAAGAACACCAGCAGCGCAACGGCGTGGCCCAGCGCCAGCAGCTTCCATGACGGCTCCAGATTTTTCACTGCGAGAGCTACATTACGATGTGCGGGCCTCGTGCCCTCTGGAGTGAATCTGTCCGATGGGAGAAGCAGCATTGCCGAGCATTCATTGTACTCAATCATCTGCTTCAACTGCCATGTGCTTGTTGTTTGCTACCCGATGCTACCCCTGCTTAGAGGGACAGCGCATACTCTTGCCCTGCGCACAAGGCGTCCTCACCTGGATATCCAGAGCTCGATCAGCCCCGCGGCCATCATGCGGTTGACCAGCACTCTGACTGTCGGCGCGAGGACCGAACCCTTGCGGAGCACGATCCACGACGTTGGGGTGGTCGGGAGGCACTTTCCGACGGGCAGGATGTGGATCCCAGGGGCTGTCTTTTCTTCCCTTTTGGTTTTGAGGTGATAGTCGACAGTGCCACGCATTTGAAGGCTGATGGTCCGCCGACCGCGTGCCACCGTCTCGCTGATCGTAGTAATGGCGCTCTCCTGCCGAAAATACATGATGTCCATCACTATCCTTTTACACGTACAGTGCGGTGTGGAGTGGCCACTTTGTGGTCACGCCTTGTTAGATCATTGGTACGTACTACCAAAAATGAGCTCGGAACATTTTAACGGGACAAGTCAGGCTATGCCTGGTGGACGTGGACGGTGCGAAGAGGCAGGATGGCATATGGCCTAGCTTAAACCGTCCCTGCGCCTGCGGGCGGGGTGACGTACCTGGATCGTCGCACGCCGCAAAACATTGCTCATGACGGTGTCTCTTGTATGATCGCAGCCGACCTTCAGATCGTCCCAGGTGACTTGATGGAGCTCAACACCCAGGCCCAGCTCCATGGCCTCCCCCAGTGTGTTGATGTCTGCGTTCCTCATCGGCTTGAGGAGGCGGCCCTTGGCGAGGGCGAGGAAGCTCGTCGACACGACGAGCGTAAACATGAACCATGGGAACAAAAAGAGGCGCAGCGCGCTGAGCCGCGGCACGCGCCCGGCGCAGGGCACGCCGAGGAGGGAGCACAGCGTGAAGCCGACGGCGAACTCGAACCGCGACAAGCGTCCCCCGCGGCCGCGGGAGCGGGACGCCAGCAGCCACACCGTCACGGAGCTGGCGGCCGCGGTCGCCACCAGCGCGGCCCACAGCTCCGGCTGGAAGGGGCGGGTCAGCTCTTGCAGCGGGGACAGCTCACGGCCCAGTCCGGAGGGCACGATCCACACCGCATCGTTCATGTGGCCCGTCATGATGATCTCGGCGCCTCGGCTCCGCGACGGCTTCGAGAGGAAGTACGCCACGGCCACGTCCGCGCGCCCCGCCCGCAGGTCCTCGAACATGCCGATCGCCGTGCCGTTCCTGTAGAAGGTGCCGTAGGGCACACCGTCGCACGCGGACTGCAGACAGTACGGCTCCCGCATATCCACGTGCTGCCCGATCTCGCTGAGCATCTCGATGGTGAGGCCGGTGGCCCAGCTCTCTGCGGCACGGCGGCGCAGGTGCCTGCTGGCGAGTGGAGGCGGGGAGGCGTGCACGCTCGCGCACTGGCAGACCCCTGGAGGCGGGACCTCTATCCCGCGGTCCCCGCGCCACCCTCGGCTCGGGTCCTGCGTCCCCACGACCACGGCCAGGGGTTGGTGCTCCGCGTTGACCACCAGCGGGCAGCTCCCCAGGCGCACGCGCTCGTTGCGGGGGAAGAGCGCCCGCCCGCTGCCCAGCCAGCCCCCCGCGTCCCACTGGTCCAGCAGCAGGGCGGCGGGCGCGGCGTGGCAGCGGGAGAAGGGCTCGAAGGAGTAGGCCGACACCCGGTCCGCGCCGGCCACGAGCACCAGGGCGTTGACGAGCTGCCGGCCCCAGAGCGCGCCCACGGCCGCGTCGGCTGCGTCGGCTGCGCCCTGCGGGCTGTGCTCCGGGGCGGTCACCACGATGACGGGCGTGCGCGAGTCCATGGGCAGCACGGCCAGCAGCGCCGCGCCCGCACCTTCGTTCCTGCGACGCGTTTGCCGTGCTGCTCAGTCAACTGCAGCGTGTGTGACACGAGCGAGGGCTCGTCTGCGCGTCCCGCAGCACGACGACGACGACAGCCTTACCTCAGGTCCACGACGTAGAGGTCGGTGAGGTAGTTGTAGGCGGGGAGGCCGTCGGGGAACGTCTCCCCCGCCCTCCACGCCACCGCCCCGGCGAGGGACATCCCCCGCTGCGGCACGCCCACCATCCCGCGCAGCTCCGCGGACAGCTCCGAGCCGCCCAGCACCGTCACCTGCCGACACGACTCAAAGTAGCTCCGCTGCAAGGCCGCGATGCAGCCCGCCACCTGGGACACGGGCTGCGACGTGGAGGACAGCGCCGCGGACAGCAGGACGGTGACCTCGAGGAAGTCTTTCATCGCCCTCATCGTGGCGGGCCGGCTATACGCGGCGGACGACACGCGCGCGCCCTCGCGTGCGGCGGGCGTTTTGGCGGTGGACTTCGCCTGATGCGAGCGAGCTAATGGCCATCCTTTCAGTCCAGGCGCGGAAGCGTCCGGGGTGTCTGAGGTGACGGCGCAAGATCAATGATCGGGGTAAGTAGTTTGTCTGACTTTTCCTTCTTCCCTCCCCACCCTTTAATCGCTCCACGCACTCTTGCCGAGCCTCCGCGGACACGCGATGGATAATTTGTTCACATTGTCATGACTTTGTCGCGCGCAGAAAGGTGCGAGGTCCCAAAGTCGTGACACGAAACTTTCGGGTAGTTGCACACTGTTAAAAATTCTGTAAGGAAGTATACAGTTTGCCTACAGTACGCCCTGTTTATTTTGTCTAAGATATGGGCCGTGCTTCGGTGTCTAAGTCAAGTGCTGTACTGACTAATAATACGGTTTGCGAAGTTACAGTACATCCTGTACGGAGTTGACCGTAATCCAAAATTACAGTCGCTGACGAGGTAACAAATTGACAGGGCGCACTGTAGACAATTTTATCAGCAGTAAAAAGCGGCGTTCTCATTGAAGGTATTTAGAGCTGACCATGACGGACGTTGACGCGTTTCTCATCATCACCGCGTGTTGTGTTTAGACCCTACCACCTCCACTCAACCAAGGTGGACTCGACTAAGGTTACCTGGAGCTACGTCACCGGCTTTGGGAGGGGGTATCTCGTGGACTGCGTTTTGCTCTGAGCGTTCCCGCGTACAGGCCAGTGCTCAGGTGGTGGCGATTCTGGTCGGTTGTGGCATATTTGTTACGTGTCTTGTGCTGCGCTGCAGTCTGGCCTCAAGTTTCTTCGTAAGCCTGTGAGCGCGTCCCCGCCGATCTAGTCACCTGGTCTCTGTAGTCATTTCCGACTCCAAACCGGGGAGGGGTAGAACTGAGGCTGAGGTGACGGCAAAAAGAAAAGTACCAGGGGGCTGACTGACTCACGCCGTGCACTTTTGTAGTTATACTGTACCGCATTCACGCGTGCGGGCGGGTTGCCTAATCGCACGGAGCCGCAAGGAGCCGTGGGCAGCGACGATAGGCAAGCCCGCCCGCACCAGTGCATGCGGTACAGTATACCCACGAAAGTGGGCTGCGTGAGTCAGCCACCTGGTATATTCAGCACGTGGTCCCTAGGTAGTAATACATTCAGGTTCCCTCCACGTGCACGCAATGTGACCTTATATTTTGACCGTATTTCGTCTTGGGTGATGTCGATGCCGAGCACCTAAGCTAAGCGTTTGTTTGACGCCCAACGTTATCTTGTTTAGTGAACGTGAAGGTGTGGGGCCAAGGCTAAGACGGCCGCCGAGGAACGAGCAAAATTTTTCAGAATGTTCTCCGAAGAGGCTCAATAGAAAATTGCGAAAAAGTCGCAAAATCGATGTAGCATTTATATGCGACTACTAGATTACGGCCAGTCGACTGTTTGTTTGACTTGGCGACGCCCACCTCCGTTGTTTTCCTATGCTAATTCGCAATCAGCCTAGTACCTCATTATGCACGTGGGCGCCGTGCACTGCGTTGGACTCCAGTGTGTACTTCCGCGTGTCATAAGCCGCCCGACCTGTTCCAGAGTGAGATCTCATTGTGGCACCAGCACTACGCTGCTGCGGACGCCTGCGAGCTAGGCCGCCCGCACCGCGTCGTCCTGTCCACCCTGTGCCTGGCAATGCACCCGGTGGAGATGGCGGCCGTGGCGGGGGTCCTGCTGGTCTCGGCCGTGCTGAACGCCGTCCTGGCCGTGGCCTACGAGTCCGTGGACACCGTGCCGGACTACGCCTCGTTCGGCCCGCTGTGGTCCGCCTACGTCCTCTCCAGCGACGGGACTCCCCGCATCGACTTGAGCGCGTGGCGCCGGGACTTCAACCCTCTGCTGGACCTGGACCCGGTGAGAGCGCGGTGGAGAAACTATTCAAAAACCTGCTACTTCGAAAATCCCCATCAAAGGTACCTGGTTTAGGGTAACCTAAGACCCCTATGACCTAGGGTTGGTCGATTCGATTCCGATTCGAATCGAAAATCGATTCCCCGCGTCGATTTTCGATTCGAATCGGAATCGATTACGCGCATCACGAGAATCGAAAGAATCGATTCTCAGCGTCGATTTTCGATTCTTAAAAATTTGCCTGATTTTGAATCTCCGCGCGCCTCTTGGGCCAGCCAAGTGCGCCGCAGGCCCCATCTT